TTGCGGGTGGGGCATTTATTGGAATCTTGAAGCCCTCTTTAACAAGGGGGCCCCCTGATCCCCCCCCATGTGAATGAGTATGCGGCATATGGTACCGCTACCCAATAAAAAACAAGTGTAGTATAAAAAAAAGACAGGAGACAGTCTTTGACAAGTCTTTTATGTAAAATAAAAATAAAAAAGTCCCCTGAAGTAGATCCAACGTCAATCATGATGCCCGCTGCCACCGCTGACCCAAAAAAAGAAAAAAAAATTGCTTTGCCTTCTACGCTGGCTTCCACTATCTGACAGCTGTGCCTCAATGACAGTTCTCACAAGGGGGTGGGATCACCCTTGTGATATCATTATGCCCTGTGATTGGTCAAAGCATTGCACCTGACTTGTGGTCAGGTGCAATGCCTTGGCCAATCACAATGCACTATCAGGGTGCAGTGCATTGTGTGGTGCGGGGGGAGAACATCCCGCCGAACGCCCATACCATTTGTGTGTTCCATGAACACATCAGCGGCCCATGTTCGAATCGAACTTACATTTGACTCAAACATCCAGCCCATCACTAATATATAAGAATTGTTTACTCTCCACAAATATTATGCTCAGGGGCGAACTGACCATTCGGGCATTGTCTGAGGGCCCGGGGTCAGTAGGGGGCCCAGTGAGAGGTTCACAGGGCACAATTCACTAAGCGGTATCTTACCGCATAGTACGAATATGCAGGAGGATACTATGTAGCATTTAAAAAAACCCAATTGAATTCACTAAAAAATGCTACTAAAATACCGCATGCGTTATTTTAGCAAGTCGTGGTATTTTAGTAGTGAAAACCATGCTTTAATGTTTCAGGTGTCAGCGGGGCACCCTACTGACAGATGAATGTAAAAGGAAGCATTGCTGGCAATTAAAAAAATAATTTAAAAAATGGCGTGGGGCCTCCCCTCCATCCATACCAAGCCCTTTAGGTCTGGTATGGATTTTGAGGAGAACCCCCATGTCAAAATTAAAAAAATCCATACCAGACTCTTATCCGAGCATACAGCCCGGCAGGTCAGGAAATGGGGGGATGAGCGAGCACCCCCCCTCCTCAACCATACCAGGCGACATGCCCTCAACATGGGGTTGCTTTGGGGGGGTTCCATGTTGATGAGGACAAGGGCCTCTTCCCAACAACCCTGGTCTGTGGTTGTGGGGGTCTGCAGGGGTGAGGGGCTTATCAGAATCTGGAAGCCCCCTCTAGCAAGGGGGCCCCCAGATCCAGCCCCCCATGTGAATAAGTTTGGGGTACATGGTAGCGTTACCTATTCACAAAAAAAGTGTAGTGGGAAAAAAGACAGGAGACAGTCTTTTACAAGTCCTTTATTAAAAGAAGAAAAATAAAAAAATGTCCCCTGAAGTAGATCCAATGTCAATCACGATGCCTGCCGCCACCACTACCCAAAAAAAAAAAAAAAAAAAGAAGGCTCTGCTGCCGATGCTGGCTCCCGGATGTCTTACTGGTCTGGTGGCTTGAATAGTTCTTAAATATGTAAGGGGCGGGGCCACCTGGGTACACACATGTGTGACCCCGCCCCTCGTGGCGTCATCAACCAGGGCATACTCGGTCAATAATGTCACAAAGAGGTGGGTCACACACCAGGGTGGACTGACAACTTATGGGGCCCCTGGGCAATAGGGGATCATGGGGCCCCTGTGTTCTTGCCCAAACTCAAAAAAGCCTATGAAAAAGGTACCAGGGGCATCTCATGGGGCCCCTTACTGACCCTGGGCCCTCGGGCAGTGCCCGAGTTTCCAAATGGTCAGTCTGCCCCTGGGTCACATGCATGATGTCACTGTGTGTCAAGCCATTGGAGCAGTCAGATGGCTGGGAGCCAGCATCAGCAGCGGAGCCTTCTTTTTTTCTTTTTTCGGGTAGCGGCGGGCATCATGATTGACATTAGATCTACTTCGGAGGACATTCTTTTATTTTTCTTCTTTTAATAAAGGACATGTCAAAGCCTGTCTGCTGTCTTTTTTTCACACTACACTTTTTTTTGTGAATGGGTAGCGGTACCATGTACCCAATACTCATTCACATGGGGGGGCAGGATCTGGGGGCCCCCTTGCTAAAGGGGCTTCCAGATTCTGATAAGCCCCCACCTGCAGACCCCCACAACCACAGGCCAGGGTTGTGGGGAGGAGGCCCCTGTCCCCATCAAGGGCAAATATGGGGAGAAGCTGCTTTGGGGGAGAACCCCCCAAAGCACCCCCCCATGTTGAGCGCATGTGCCTGGTATGGTTCAGGAGGGGGGGGGGGCGCTTGCTCGCTCAGCTCCATAAAAGCTCCATAGTGCAAAATCACCAATGTGATTTATTTACTTAAAGGAAAATACTCACAGGATATACATAAACACGCTTTCTAAGGCACAAACACATCGTTTGCTGGTCAGTGAGCATGATAACATCAGCATAAACCCTGTCCCGATGCATTTCATCCACAGAGATGTTCTCAAAGGGATCCCCCTTTTGGCAGTCCACCAAAACTGCTGTCAGCTTCTCCCTCCTCCAGGTGCCTCCTGTAGCAAACGTGTTAAAGAGGTACTTGTGCCTGCATCCTCCTGTGTCAAGCTGTGTGTGTACATAGACACCCATAGTGCCAGTAAGCCAAGCCCCCACTCCCTCCTTACAGAAGTGTGACTAACAGCAGATGGAGCCTATGCCTCCACTGCCCTCAGTTTCTTCTATGAAAGCAGGAAGTCATGGGAGCAGTGCTAGAGCTGGAGACAGCGCTAGAGTGGTGACATGGAGCCAGGTAAGTGTTTAGGGATAGGGGATTGAAATAGGACAGGTAGAGAGATTTTTTTTTACATTATTTAGGAAAATGTGTTAAGGTAAAAAAAAAAAAATGTTTTCACTTTACTACCATTTTTAGTTCCAAGACCCTGTAGCTCTTAACTAATGGCCATTCCATTATCCAAGACCTACAGAAAGATTTTTCTTAACACCAATCAAAACCATAAAAACCTATTAGAACTGTCACGTTTTGTACAAATACAAACTAGAAAATGACACAACGTTTATGTGAGATATATTAACAAAGCTAGCAGCAAAAAAAACTGCAGAACATTTACTCTGTAACTACACCAATGCTAATATCCACATGCTATAGTACTTACAGAACTGGAGCACCATGTTTATGCAGTAATTCTTCAAACATTTAGTAATCTGCAGGCCTTTTCCTTAGTAATTCTATGCTACTAAGCACAAGGTAAACTGCAATACTGGAATGCAGGCAGAAGAATGGACAAAGAGTGAATGAAGCATAAAGAGGAGCCCAGTTTGTCTTCAAGAACAAGCCATGCTTCAGCTGAGGTCTATTTTCCTCCATTGATTTCCTTATGAAAATAAAAGGGCATGGATTAGTGTTCACAAATTTTTCAAGTATTGACACAAAGTTCAAAATTAATTTTGTAGACAGGCAGCAACGTATTGATATTTTTAAATGTCAGTCATTATGTTTATATAACTATTTAACTATGTTTATATAAACTATGTTTATATACCTTCCTCTAAATAATTTTATTTGGTACACTGTAATCTGGCTAGATCGATTTTGGAAGGGGTCAAACCAGTGATGTCGCTAGAAGCTCAAATGATGAAGTTGCGACTGTCCTATTTTGGTCACACTGTTAGAAAGGAGAGATCACTGAAGAAGGAAATAATGTTTGGGAAGATCGAAGAAACCAGCTGAATAGAGAGACCAACTAGGTGGTTGGACACATTGACTACAGCTGTGGTGATGACACTGGAGGATCTCTCAAGACAAACGCAAAACAGACTTCTTTTTAGAGCTCTTATTCATAAAGTCGTTAGGACTCGGACTCGAGTTGATGGCATTTAATAATAATAATAATCTATCTAGTAAAAGTCTGGTGTGGTTTTGTACATGTTCCCCTATATCTTTAACCTCCTTGGAGGTATTCTCGAGTGTAGCTCGGGGTAACATTTCAGTACCACAAACGGTAACCCCGAGCTACACTCGGGAATACCATGTGGCGCTGCTCCGGCATTTGTTCTTCCCTTACCTTACCCTGCGCTCCCGCGATGTGTCCCCTGCAGCGTCCCCAGCCATCTCCTCCGGCCGATGACGGCATCCGGCTTCTGTGTCCTGTCCCTGTGACGTCGGGACGTACGGGCGCCGCCGGCGGCGGGAAATTTTAAAATTTTAAATAATGTCATTTTTTTTTATTTTACATAGTAAAACATTGCTGTCTCAACCAATTTCACATACATTTTGTCCCGAGTGCTTTGTCCTGCGCCCTGCCTGCATTTTGTCTGTTCTTTCTGCCTGGAAACTGAGAAAAGTCCATGGCATCCAAAAAGTGTCCCTTTAGGTCAAAAGCGGTTTAGATCAGCTAGAGAACAGCGATAGTAAATCATAACCACTTGCAGAATTGAGTGATAATGATTTGTGGGGAAATTCGTCATCAGACACTGAAAACGATTTTGCGACTTTGCTCAGCAATGTGCGAACTTGGCGCTATATTTCAAATTTCAGTGTTTTTGGTTTGATTATATTATTGAATTAAATGTATTATTATTATATTTATTATTTTTTTATGATTATTTATTAAATTATAATTTATGATTTTGTGTTTCAAATTTTATCATACCCCGGGATGTTTAATAGACTCTTGTTAAGACAGATTTCAGTGAGTTATTCCTAAATATTACAGCCTACAATAAAAAACTACATATTTCCATGCAAAATAATGGTACCGCTTTCAGCACCAAAAATCTGAAATAATCATACCGCCAGGGAGGTTAATCGCTTCCTGCCCGCCATATAGTAAAATGACGGACGCAAGGTGGTTCTCTCGTTCTGGGAGGACGTCATATGACCTCCTCCCATTCTAAATGCCCATGCGCAGCTCTGGGAGTGTGCAGCATGGCGATCGGCGGTGCGTTGTGTCCCTCGGACACAGCGGATCACCGATCAATGGAAAAAGCCGAAGATGTCGGCTCGGTCATGTGATCAGCTGTGTCCAATCACAGCTGATCACATGTAAACAGGGAAATGCCGGTTATCGGCATTTCTCTCCCCACAAGAGCTGTCACGCTGACAGCTCGAGAGGAGAGGAGAGGAGAGCCGGTAATCGTCATTCCTTGGAGGGGACATGTACACAGATCTTCAGAGCACTGATGATCAGTGTGCCCTGATGATCTGTGTAGCCCCAGCAGTGCCACCTGTCAGTGTCCATCAGTGCCAGCTCTCAGTGCTCATCCATGCCACCTGCCAGTGCCCATCAGTGCCACATCAGTGCCACATTTCAGTGCCCATCAGTGCCACATCAATGCCACATATCAGTGCCCATCTGAGCTGCCTTTCAGTGTCACCCATCAGTGCCAGTCAGTGCCAACTATCAATGCCAGTCAGTGCCACCTATCAGTGCTACCAATCAGTGCCACCTATCAGTGCCAGTCAGTGCAGCCTATCAGTGCCAGTCAGTGCCACCTATCAGTGTGCATCAGTGCCGCCTATCAGTGCCTGTCAGTGCTGCCTATCAGTTGTGCCTAACAGTGCCAGTCAGTCTCACCTAACAGTGCCAGTCAGTGCCGCCTATCAGTGCCGTATATGAGTGCTGCCTTTCAGTGTCCATCAGTGATGCCTGTCCATGCCCATCAGTGCCACCTACCAGTTCCTCCTCATCAGTGCCCATCAGTGCCACCTATCAGTGTCCATCAGTGCAGCCTATCAGTGCCCATCAGTGCAGCCTCATAAGCGTATATCAGTGAAAGGAGAAAAAATCACTTATTTACAAAATTTTATAACAAAAACTAAGAAAAACTTTTTTTTTTCTAAATTTTCAGTGGTTTTTGGTTTGTTTTAGAAAAAATAAAAAACCCAGAGTTGATTAAATACTACCAAAATAAAGCTCTATCTGTCACAAAAAAATAATAAAAATGTAATATGGGTACAGTGTTGCATGACCGCGCAATTGTCATTCAAAGTGCAACAGCGCTGAAAGCTGGAAATTGTCCTGGGCAGGAAGGGGCTATAAGTGCCCTGTAGGCTAGTGGTTAATAAAGTTTTTGTGGAACAAAAAAATGTGCTCTTTTTTCCACAAACAACAGAATAGAAAACAGTGAGATTTTGAAATACAGTCTTTAGGAACAATTGTTTGAATCATGAGGATAACAATAGTGGAAAAAAAGAAACCAGATTAGTTTAGCCCAGGCATCTCCATACAATGTAAGTATAAGGAGTAGATGCTATTGGTTGTACATATTTGGTACAAAATCTAATACAAAAAGGACCCAAATAAAATGCTGGAAGACATAGGCATGGAGGCCATATAACACGGATGAAGGGGTGCCTGGCAAACAGAGGTTTAAGGAACAAAAAGTATAAAAGGACCTCTTACATTCCATACCTCATCTAGAATATGCAGTTCAGTTTTCGGCACCAGTTCACAAAAAGTATATTGGGGAACTGGAGAAAGTGTTGAGAAGGGCAACCAAACTGATAAGAGGCATGGAAGAGCTCAGCTATGAAGAAAGATTAGCTTAACTGCATTCGTTCTGTCTTGAGAAGAGGAGATTAAGGAGGGATATGGTCGACATCTATAAATACATTTTAAGATTTCTGAAAAAACTGCTCTTGGTGCAAACTCAAAACGTGTGAAAAGCAAAAACCCGTGTACAGCTGCACTCATAAAACACACCCAAGTGCAAACGTGCATCAGAAAATCATAACTCAAATATGCTGCGCTGCGACATTCAAATATCCTTTCAGTGCAAAAATTATTGAATTTAAATCAAACGAATAAATCAATAAATTACACAATAAAATCACTTTGTCTTTAAAGAATTAATCCAAAAAGTCCACTATGCCTTTATAATAAAGCCAACTTTATTAAACACATATACACATGTGCAATGGAAAACCACCAAAATAATGTGAACTTGACCAAAATTCTCCCAGTGAAATTCCACCACCATTCATGGAAAATATATTACTCTTACCAAAACATAAGACCCCAAGGTATAGGAGGTCTTATGAACTCTTGGTATATCCAGGGTTAACTCTATCTCTCTCTGGTTACACAGCTCAAATTCAATGAACAAACAGATGGATGGGGATCACAGAGTTCACCAACAGGGAAAATTGTCTCAGCACTTGCTCCATAAAAGCTCCATAGTGCAAAATCACAAATGTGATTTATTTACTAAAAGGAAAATACTCACAGGATAGACATAAACACACTCTCTAAGACACAAACATGTTGCTGGCTGGTCAGTCAGCATGATAACATCAGTATAAACTCCCCCCCCGATGCATTTCATCCATAGAGATGTTCTCAAGGGAATCCCCCTTCTGGCAGTCCCCCAAAAGTGCTGTTATCTTCTCCCTCCTCCTGGTGCCTCCTGTAGCAAACGTGTTAAAGAGGCACTTGTGCCTGCATGCTCCTGTGTCAAGCTGTGTGTGTCCATAGACACCCATAGTGCCAGTAAGCCAAGCCCCCACTCCCTCTTTACAGAAGTGCGATTGACAGCAGATGGACCCTATGCCTGCACTGCCCTCAGTTTCTTCTATGAAAGCAGGAAGTCAGGGGAGCAGTGCTAGAGCTGGAGACAGTGCTAGAGTGGTGACATGGAGCGAGGTAAGTGTTTAGGGATAGGGGATTGAAATAGGACAGGTGGAGAGATTTGTTTTACCTTATTTAGGAAAATGCGTTAAGGTAAAAAAAACAAATTCACTTTAGTACCATTTTTAGTTCCAAGACCCTGTAGCTCTTAACTAATGGCCATTCCATTATCCAAGACCTACAGAAAGATTTTTCTTAACAGCAATTAAAACCATAAAAACCTATTAGAACTGTCATGTTTTGTAGAAATAATGGACTAAACTACAAACTAGAAAAAGACACAACGTTTATGTGAGATATATTAACAAAGCTAGCAGCAAAAAAACTGCAGAACATTTACACTGTAATTACACCAATGCTAATATCCACATGCTACAGTACTTACCAGGGGTGGACTGACAACTCATGGGGCCCCCGGGCAATAGGGGATAATGGGGCTCCTGTGTCCTTGCCCACACCTAAAAAAGCCTATGAAAAAGCCAATGAAAGGCACCAGGGGCATCTCATGGGGCCCCCTACTGACCCCAGGCCCTCGGGCAGTGCCGAGTGCTCGAATGGTCAGTCCGCCCCTGGTACTTACAGAACTGGAGCACCGTGTTTATGCAGTAATTCTTCAAACATTCAGTAATCTGCAGGCCTTTTCCTTAGTAATTCTGTTCTACTAAGCACAAGGTAAACTGCAGTAATGGAATGCAGGCAGAAGAATGGACAAAGAGTGAATGAAGCATTAAGAGGAGCCCAGTTTGTCTTCAAGAACAAGCCATGCTTCAGCTGAGGGCTATTTTCCTCCATTGATTTCCTTATGAAAATAAAAGGCATGGATTAGTGTTCAAAAAATTTTCAAGTATTGACACACAGTTCAAAATTAATTTTGCCGACAGGCAGCAACGTATTGATATTTTTAAAATGTCATTCAACATTTCCAAACAAAATAATTGAAACAGGAATATAACAGGGGTATGTTATATAGCATTTCTTCCTGAGCCATTTAGCCAGTCTGTTAGGAGCTAACAAAAGTTAACCCTGGAAGTAAGTAAGGTGCTATGGATAAAATACGTTACATCTGCTGTGAAGCACATCACATCCTGTAGTGCCTGTTGTCAGCCACTTTGGGGGAAATTTACTAAAATTGGTACACTCTGAATCTGGTGCAGCTGTTCATTGTGGCCAATCAGCTTTTAACTTCAGCTTGTTCAATTAACTTTTGACAATAAAACTGAAAGATGATTGGTTTATCTGCAGAGTTTCATCAAATAGTCTCCAATTTTAGTAAATAACCCATTTTTTTGCCTACATGCACTTTAGCAATGGCTGCAGTATTTTTCTTGAAGGTGACAACAATGATGATGCCAGTGGGGTGGATTGACTAAAGGCAAATAAACTGTGCACTCTGCAAGGGCAGGTGCACTAATTTTCCCAAGAGCTTGGAGAATGTGGTGATTTCCATCAACCAATCATTTGCAGGCAAAAACTTTTTTTTTTTAATTTTTTTCTTGCACCTGATTGGGTATTTTTTACAAAGTGAAGCATTACCATGTTGCATTTACTAAAGAAAATGAGTGCAACTGCACTGTACACAGTCTATTTGCCTTTAGTCAATCAGACCTATTATGTTTTGAAATGTCCACTTGTAGTCTCCATTGGAAACTCATGGCATAGGGCATAAATGAGTGAGCACAGCTGGGAGGCAGGGGACAGTGTTGTCATCTTATAACAGGGGGCAGCACAGTGGCTAAATGGTGGGGCAGCACAGTGGCTAAATGGTGGGGCAGCACAGTGGCTAAATGGTTAGCACTTCCGCCCGGTAGTACTAGGGTCGGTGGTTTGAATCCCAGACACGGCACCTCCTGCCTGGAGTTTGCATGTTCTCTCTGTGCCTGTGTGGGTTTCCTCCGGGTACTCCGGTTTCCTCCCATACTCCCAAGTCATGCTGGTAGGTGAATTGGATCCTGTCTAAATTGGCCCTAGTATGTGTATGTATGAATGTAAGCTAAGGACCTTAGATTATATACCCCTTGAGGGTTAGGGACTGATGTGAATGTATAATATATATGTAAAGTGCTGCGTAAATTGACGGCACTATATAAGTACCTGAAATAAATAAATAACAGGAAAAGTATGAACAAGACTACCAGGTGATATTTGGATCAAAGCTACAGGTTTCTGAATATTGAAAATTGGTTTGAATTTACAGCAGTGTGTAAAAGCTTATATGAGATTTTATTGGCTGGGCTTACATATAGTTTAAGACCACCACCACCACCGCAATGGTGTGTATAAGCTGATAACTGTGCAAGCGTACTGGAAATATACACAACCTGCACCACCATTGAAAAGATAAAACATACGTGATATACTGTCTCTTTTCCATTTTATATTTGTTGTATTCATTTATATAAACATCTGCATGCACAACTATTGCAAACACAGGGACATTATAACAAGCTATCAACTTAAAGATGTGCAGTTTTGAAAATTAGAATGGCATTGAACATGTTAACAGAAGATTTTCCAGTCTATTTAGGGGTTGTGAAGAAAGAGGAAGCAACTTTGCCTGAGATCTCATTTTGTTGGAGATTGGCTTGTTGGCGCTGCTTTAAACCTCACAATATCTGCAGTTTACTCTATTCAGCAAAGCTGAGATGGCAGGGAATAGCTGGAGGTTAGAGTCCAGCCCCCTCCCACATGTACATAGAGACATACTTCATTTTCTACCGAGGGCAGCGTGTTTCAAACCAATTTGAAAAGATCAAAGTTGGCAACTTGGAAGCAAGGTGATTTTTCAATCCCTTAACTTAATAGCGTGATAAATTAAA